GAAGATTAAGAAATGGGACAGCTGGAGGTATAATGTAGATAGCACAGGAGTGGGGAGGGGGCATTCAAATTCCAAATATCCCCTCATATTCTTATTGCATTGCTCAATCATTGGGCAATTATATGCAACAACAGCTTTCACCTTTCACTCACTTTATTATATTAGGGTGTATCCAGACTGGATTACAATGGGTTTACTCTAAAAAGGTAAAGGTAAAGGACCCTTGACAGTTAAGTCCAGTCGCAGACGACTCTGAAGTTGTGGCGCTCAGCTCGCTTTCCTGGCTGAGGGAGCCGACGTTTGTCCGCAGACAGTTTTTCCAGGTCATGTGGCCAGCATGACTAAGCTGCTTCTGGCGCAACGGAACACCGAGACCAGAGCAGCACACGGAAACGCCGTTTACCTTCCCACGGCAGCGGTACCTATTTATCTACTTGCACTTTGGGGCAAGCTTTTGAACTGTTAGGTTGGCTGGAGCTGGGACCAAGCAACAGGAGCTCACCCGTCATGGGGATTCGAACCACCGACCTTCTGATCAGCAAGCCCAAGAGGCTCAGTGGTTGAGACCACAGCACCAACCGTGTCCGGGTTTATTCTAGGTATGGCTAAATGAGCAATCCTAAATATGAAAAGGAGGTAATTTAGATGACTTAAATTAAGCTTGTGTAGAATACACCAGATCCAAACCAGTTCAACTTAGACCACCCTTGAGAAGCAGCGATGGTAGCCGCTCCAACTGTACCAAGCCGCCAAAGGACGATAAGAAGGGGGACATGGGCAAGTCGGCCAAGAAGGACAAGGAAACCATCAACAAGTCCAGTGGAAAAGCCAAGAAGAAGAAGTGGCCCAAAAGGGAAAGTAAGAGACAAGTTGAACAACCTTGTTCTGTTTGACAAAGCTACTTACGACAAGCAGTGCAAGGAGGTGCCAAACTACAAACTCATCACACCTGCTGTGGTCTCTGAAAGACTGAAGATTTGAGACTCCTTGGCTAGAACCGCACTCCAGGAGCTTCTCAGCAAAGGCCTAATCAAACTGGTATCCAAGCACAGAGCCCAGGTCATCTACACCCGAAACAGCAAGGGGGATGATGCATAAAAGGTTCTTGAGAGGTTTTTAGACTCTGTAAATTACAAAAATAAAATTATTTGAACTCCTGGGGGAGAGAAAAAAACTTAGACCAGCCTTTTCGCCAGCATAAGTTGCGAAGTCATGTGACTGAGCTGAACAGAGTTAGGATCCAGCATAAGTCCTCCCCCTGGTCCTGCTCTCAACACTTCCCTGCCACCTCCCCAGAATGCCAGTTTTTCAGAGCTTATGCCGGTATAAGATCTGCCAGTCTCACGTCAGCTTTATGACCTGGCTGAGCCAGGATGAAGGTGTTATGATAGCATAGCCCTAGCTGAGCTGAGATCTGCTGGATCCTAACTTGCTCAGCTGGGGGGATCTTGGGCTTGGATTGCTTCCTTACTCTGGATCCAACCCACTGAAGTTAACATGGCTGAATAGGAATGGCAATGAGGTTCTGTATTCTTGTAAATGTTAACTTCCATGGTTAACAAATGTCAACTTTTCCTAAAATTCAAAAAACACTGCAAGTAATTGCATTCACGGTAGGTTTTCTCAGAAACATTAAAAAAATAATCGTGTATGAAAATGTGTGCAGAGGTTCAGCATCATCTAGTTTGGTAAACATGTCACAGAAGAATGGCTTCCCCAGAATATTACATTGACATCTGCAAGTCAAACAAACCACAATCCAGTAGTGGAATATTTGCTCTTGATATGGCATATTCATGAATTTATTCAGAGAAGCCTGTCATCTTGATATTTATAAACAAATGAAAACTTCAGAATCAGCTCTTCTACTTTTTGGATTGGGCAATGACTGACCCAAGGTCACCCAAGGGAGTTTAATGGCCTTGGTGTTCCAAGTCAAGATTTCTCTAACCTCATTGCATTCACTTTCATGTGTGTGTACAAAAACCTCTTTGTGATAGCCAGGATTTACATCCATTTGGGTCATCAAAAGATTTCCTTAAATCTGCCATAAATGTCAACATAATCTCTACGTAAAATGGACAGTATAGTTAAGACATGTGTAACAGAGTCGGCCTCTCTGTGTGAGGAGATTTCACCCCTCCCATATCCAAGAATCTCCTGAGGAGTCTGCTGATTCTCCAGAGAGGAGGAGGCGTGTTCTGCTCTCTACTTATTCTGCTCCAGCACCAGAGTCAGTCAGTCAGTCAGTGTCGGAGAGAGAGAGAGAGACTGAGTGTTAGAGATCGTGTGTATAGATAAGGTTGCTGCTAAGAGCAGCTGCAGACACTCAGTGCAGTGCAGCATTCATTTATGCTTAGACTCATTAAGCTCTGTATATAGTTGTATAATAGTTGTAGATAGAATAAAGAAGTTATTCTACAGAGCTGCTCTCCGAGTTGTTTATATACTCTGCTAGAGTCTGCTGTACTCTGCTGTGCGACGACTGTCTTCTTGTGGGAGGGAATCCGGTGCTCACAACTCTAAGCTGTGAGTCCACAGCACTTTGACCTGTTCCTGTGCAGAAGGTGGTCTCTGGAAGTGCTACCCAGCTCGCCTAGCCCAGTCGGGGCTGAAGTGGATGAGTCCAGTTGGTGGCACTGGCTCAAGGGCGATGCTGACACTGTGGTCCCGCAATAACATAAAGTCTACAACCAGAGGAAGGCGTAACATCTTTCTTGTAGCAATACAGAGGGCAACGCACTGTACCTAGTTAATGTAAAAGCACAACTATATTTAGAAAGGTTTAACCTTCTAAATATTTGGACACTTTAATCCCATAATCAGTATTCACACCCACAAATAGCGGGGAATGGCTTTTGTTTGTTAGAGAGCACATATTTGAGGTGTTTAAATTCCCTATTCTCAGAGGCAGTAAATGTTTCTCAAAATCTCACCAGGAAAACCTAGTGCATATACCTTACTTTAAAGCAGTCCCTAAATCCAGACTATGTAGAAGAGGTCTTGCACAACAACTAGTTTCTTTAGAAGGCGATACATATTTCCATCCACATCAATTTGAAATGCCACTCTTCTAACTCAATGTAGCCCAGAGTAGAGCCCTGATTCTAATGCGCTTCCAAGCGTACATTCACATTAGATTGGCATTCAGAAGTCTTCTTATGCACACCGAGATCCCTTGCTAAATTACAGCAATCAGGTTGCCTGCAATTTACAGCCGCAGCAGCGTGAGTCATAATAATTCTGTTTAAAATGCTGCATTTATTTATTTTCATTTATTTTCTGACTCAGCTGTAGAATCATGACAAGAGAGTGAGGTAGCTGGTAGGTCTTTGTCTTCCAGCCTTCATCTAGGTTGGCATGACTGTGATCCCTTTAAAGTTGTTCCACCATTCAAGTTTTGAAGATCTTGTGGGAGGAGAGTTAGCAAACGCATCTGGGGTTTAGAATTGTGCTCTCTGATGATCTCTCTTTCTTAAAGGGGGAGGGGAATAATGAGGTCAATGTCAGTAGTGAACAAAAGCAAGAACTCTTATGTACTTCCTTTTGCAAGCAGGACTTCCTCCTCTTCTGGTTTAGCACCTAAATGTCAAAGCAGCAACATGAAAGGCTCCTTTATTAGAATCGCACCAAGTGAACTTTCAAGGATATGATAGGTAAAGGTAAAGGTACCCCTGACCATCAGGTCCAGTCGTGACCGACTCTGGGGTTGCGCGCTCATCTCGCTCTATAGGCCGGGAGCCGGCGCTTGTCCGCAGACAGCTTCCGGATCACGTGGCCAGCGTGACTAAGCCACTTCTGGCGAACCAGAGCAGCACACGGAAACGCCGTTTACCTTCCCGCCGGAGAGCGGTCCCTATTTATCTACTTGCACTTTGAGGTGCTTTCGAATTGCTAGGTTGACAGGAGCTGGGACCGAACAAAGGGAGCTCACCCCGTCGCGGGGATTCGAACCGCCGACCTTCCGATCGGCAAGTCCTAGGCTCCGTGGTTTAACCCACAGCGCCACCCGCGTCCCTAAGGATATGATAGTTAAAGCTAAATATGGGTATCTAGCTTCTTCTCTCCCCACTTCACTATAGTCAGATATAGTGGAGCAGTTTTTCCCACCCAACAGTTTTTCTGAGGAACACTTTTCTCAGTGTAAATTGGAGGTGAGCTTCATGTTTATAGCTAAACAGGCTGACTTCGTGTTCATGTAAGAATACCAACCCTTTTAAGGAGGTAAGCCCAGAGCAACGACTCGTACAGAGATTCATTGGGTATTCTCCATGAAGGCGGATTGAATCATCCTATCTCACTCAATTTAACCTTGCAGCAGACTTATCGTATGCAACTATCCTCAGCAGAGGTTGCTTGGTAGCAGGAAAGCACAGAACCTAAGGTTATCAGATGTCCCCGTTTCCCAGGGACAGTCCCCAGATTTACAAATCAGTCTCCTAACAAAATCAATTGAAGTTGAAAAGTGTCCCCAGATTCATTGAAAAAAATCTGGTAACCTTAGCAGAACCCCATGTACAGATGTAGCAAGAAACCTTCCCTGTGGGTGGAGGCTTTGAGTTCATAGGCGCTTTTAATGAATGAATGAATTTCTTTCTTGCAGAACAGTTCTCTCATAGCACACAGTTTGGCAACTAATACATTAGAGCTTTCTTGTCTAGCCAAGGAAGACCTGGAAGGTGCATCTTTTGAGCAGAGTACAGTATGATTGCTTTGAAATGTGTTCTAATGATATCACCTGATCTTAATTCTACAAATCCTTCTGAAGTAAATATAGATTGTATTTTGTTGTGACTGCTATGAGCAAGCACTGATCTTGATTAGAAAATAACATTTGTAGTAAAGCTTTTCTGCCTGCATTAGTTTTTCCCAGTTATACTTTTATCTTTCCTTAACAAGAATAACCATGTTTTCCTAGCTGCCTAGGGTAAAGAATCGCAGAATCATAGAATTGCAGAGTTGGAAGGGGCCACAAGTTTCATGTAGTCCTGGAATGTAGTCACACAACGTTGGGCTCAAACCCACAACCCTGAGATTCAGGGGTCTCATGCTCTATCAATTGAGCTATCTGAATGAGTCCCACTACTTTAGTCCTTTGCTGTGCTATATAGGTAGTTATATTTCACACCCCCATACACCCTAAGATGATTATTTCTGGAATTATAACTTTTTATTACATGATAATTGTAGACAAATACTTCTAGTTTAATTATACATCTGTGCTCCATGTTGGATTTTGCTGCAAAAACAAGCTATGGCTATATCTCCCCCCCCCTTTTTTTAACTGTGAAGTCATTATCAGAAATCTACTACTAAAGCGGATTGTTCTTTCTTATCACATTCAAGCCTGCCTCTCCCTTGTTAGATGATGGGCGGATATGATAAGATAGAGCATTGCATGATAACTGATCTGTGATAATGGCTTCAAGCAACAAAACGATCTGATAAGAGCTGCAGTTTATCACATGGGAAGAAACCAATTCCTATCATATTCAGTGATCTTGTGAATTAGTCTCCTCCATAGCTGTCCAATTCCTTCCCTCCAGAGATCAAGGGGTTTACTTGTACACCATGGCAAGGTCACCCGTATGTAAACAAACAAGAAAATGTGGATTCCTTCTTTTCTTTTTCATTTTTTACAGTGATGCTGCCTGGATTAGTGTCCAGGATTTGGTTTTTATCATTTGGGAGAACTATTTAGCTATGCACACATTAGCAGCTTGAAACACAACAAGGTTCTTTCCCCCTTCTGCATTTCTTAAAAGCAAATAAATAAAGAAATGCCCCAAAGAATAAAGCAATTCAATACATTTTCCAGCTCTACAAAAGAAATGCATGAACAGAACATATGTGCAAGCAGGCAGACATAGAATATATTAGGTATGCACATTACGCAGACAGGGGCAAAAGTCCAGTGAAAGCAAGTTAACATAACAGTTTTGACCACTGGATATTGCAGTGTATAAACAGCTAGTTGTCCCAAATGCTCACTAATACCTATAGATCATCAACCTCAGCATAAATATGTTCTGTTAAGAAAACTTTCTGTGGCAAAGTTATGGTACATCACAAGAGTCCTGTCTTCTCCTGTCTCAAATATAAAAAGCACAGCTCTTAAAATTTAAATTCCTGCTTTGCTCCTTTACAGAATTCCTTGGGTGAGTAAAACAAAGGAATTTATTGCCTGATATTTTTTTTTTATACAATGTGGTTGATTATAGGCCTAGTTTGTTCATATATAGTGCTGCTCTTTGGCAGGGAGGCATGTAAGCCAAGCCTCAGCGCGTGTCCAGGCAGGTGGCCACCCCTGGGCACCTCTCGCTCTGGCGCCCTCGCCACCGCTGCCTTTCCTTCCAAGATTCCGGCAGGAAATAAAGGTGGTAGCACCTCCCCCTCTTCCTCTAGGTGGCCAAATCAGAGGCTCCCCCAAAATCAAGCCAGCAGCTGCCCCTCGCGCCGGCACCTCACAACGCCTGCCATGAATGGAAGAAGGAAGGCAGGCGGCATGAGGTCAGTCATGTCAAAGGTGCCGCTGACTCAGCTGCCACATACAATATGGTTAGGGGGCTTCAGCGGTAGCCGGCCCCCAGAATTTGGTGCCAGGGTGCCCTGCACCCCTTGCGCCCCAGGGTAAAGACGGCCCTGATGACAAGACCCACAAGTACTAAACCTTGGGACAAGGAGTGCAGTATGTACACAAGAGTGATCCTTTTTCTAACTGTGAAGGACTGGGGATCTTTCACAGTTGAGAATGCATTCACCCTTTATTAAGATTCAAAGCAACATTCCCCTGATTTCTCATTGTCTCACAGGTTCATGAACCTACTAGATTGGAGATCCACTTCACTTGAAAGATCAGACTCTCCGATTCCACCATGCTCAGAATGTGGCACAATCGAGGTCCATATGTGCCAAGTCCCTTCTCAATTATTCTTGCACATTATTCTTCCTCCCCTTCTCAAAAGCAGTAAAAGAATATTGCACAAACTGGGAGTGTGTACATACTAACGTCCAAGTGGAGCACTTCATTTGCACGTTAGGTTTAAGGTATGGTAATAGGGAATGTTTCTCCACTCTGTAAAGAGAAATGCCAGCTTGTTAATGAGCCACAGATTCCAGTTTAGCTTCATAATGAAAGCTGTGGGCCATATGCAGTGGCAAAATTCAGCTGTTGCAATAGATGTCTGTGTGATCAATGGAGGTTCCTGCTTCCCTCTTGTGCCCTAAGGTCCCCCTCCTGGTGCAACCTTAAAATCAGTTCTGGGTGGTTTTGGGACCTTCTGGAGCAAATTTGGGGGAGGAGACGAAACAGAAGTTGTGCAGTTACCAGCAGAACTATGTATGCAGAGCACTGGAGACAAGCCCATGTGTAGTTATGATGCCCTTTGCAAATGATGGTTATGATTAGCTACAACCACATAGACTGAGATATTTATTGGCATCTGTCACCAGCCATTGCAAACCACATCTCCATAATGCTCTTGGTCTCTCTCTCTCTCTCTCTCTCTCTCTCTCTCTCTCTCTCTCTCTCTCCCCCCCCCTCTCTTTCCCTCTCTCTCTGCATATGTATCTATATAGTGGTACCTCGGGTTAAGTACTTAATTCGTTCCGGAGGTCCATTCTTAACCTGAAACTGTTCTTAACCTGAAGCACCACTTTAGCTAATGGGACCTCCTGCTGCTGCCGCAATGCCGAAGCATGATTTCTGTTCTTATCCTGAAGCAAAGTTCTTAACCCGAGGTACTGTTTCTGGGTTAGCGGAGTCTGTAACCTGAAGCGTATGTAACCCGAGGTACCACTGTATATTTTTATTCTTCAGACATTGGCACCAAGGTGAAGTGAATGAGAAAGTCCCCTACTTGCCTGCAGCTCCCAGTACACATGGAGAACTTTGGATTAGGGCAAAGACTATGATGGCGTGATGTTATGCAATGAAAATACAAAACCACGGTCTTAAAACTCGCCTGACTTTGAGTTGACATTTTGACAACACGGCTACAGCATCAATTAACTCATCTAATATTAATTAGTATTTCATAAGCATGGCAATCTCGATGCTTTAAGTTACTTTATCTGTTAAATCAATGCTTTAATAGCCCATTCGTGTTAATTAAGAAACAATTTAGTTTTCAGTGGAAGAGTTTAATCATTATCGTTATTAATTGTTTCAAGTGCTGGCGATGGGAAGGAATCCTTGGCTCTAGTGGACTTTTGCTTAACTATGCAAGAGATAGCCCGCAGGGAGGGCAATCTCAGCTCCAGAGTCTCTGTGCCATTTAAATGCAAATCATTGCAATCAGCATGCCACAGGTATACTTACACCACAGCAGAAAGGAGCAAGCAGGCATGGGGTGCTGTGTCAAGGCTTTCTGGGCTGTTTTCGCCAGAGTGGTTTTGATGGATGTTCGTACAAGCCATGGTTTTAAAAAGTGGCTTCATTCACTTTATGTTTGCTCGACGACAAAACTCCCGACTGCATATGTGGATCCTTTTTTGTTGTATAAACAACAATAAAAAATACTTTCCCTATTAGATAGCACAATCTGAGCGTTGTAGCCAATGTCAGTCTCACTCAGAGTAGACCCATTGAAAGTATTGGCTATGATATGGTTACCAGATTTTTTTCAATGAATCTGGTGGACATTTTTTTTTTCTTTAAAGCTGAGTAGCAACAGGGAGTCAGTAGTGTGGATGGCGAGGCAAAAGACCCTGGGCCCAAGCACACATGCATATTGTATAAAGGTGGAAAGCCCTTCTTTCGCAGCAGCCCCTCTGTATTTGCTTTCCTTCTTTATGCCTATAGAGGGCTAAAAATTTTGGGCTTTTATAAAGAGAATTACTGTTGCAATTTCCCTCCCTTTTTGAAATTGATTTACTCTTGCCTTGATGGAATTTAACATTCTGTTATGACAATCCATTGCATCATTGAGAGTCTAAGGTAATTTTTACACAAATCCATTTAGTGCCTTTCCGCTAAACACCAGATTCATATATTTTTTTGCGGAAGAGGGAGAGAATGCATTTTGGGAGTAACACCATCTACATCATGAGGTTTATGATACGTCAGGAGCTTCTGAGAATATGCAGATGCAATTGAGGCAGATGGAATTGCTCTTTTTTTCTGCTGGAAAAGGACTCTCAGAAGAATCTCATTTACTTTTATTCTGACAGATGCAATTAGATGCCTGCACCTGGCATTGGTGGAGAATTAGTGACTCTTTAATTAAAGCATCTATGGATGGAGCTTTTCAAGTAGGAATCCATTTATCACAAACTAGTTTGTCATTCTTAATCTCTTTCACCTTGCTTTCTATGTTTTCCCTGTCAATGCCATTTATCTGCTTATTTCCATATTATGTGCTGTTGCTTTTGTTCCTTCTCTTATTATCCACTTACAGAGCAACACTGAGACTGTTTACCTGGAAGTGAGCCTGCAGTCCCAAACACACTTAGTGGGACCTACTTCCTAGGAAACACGGTGGTCAAATAGCTCAGTTGATTAGAGCGTGGTGCTGATAATGCCAAGGTTGCAGGTTTGATCCCCGTATGGAACAACTGCATATTCTTGAATTGCTGGGCGTTGGACGATGACTCTCAGGGTCCCTCTAACCCTATGACTCTATGAATTCTCTGCACAGCATTGCTCTGTATGACTGTTACTGTTCCATGCAGAAGAAGAAACAGAAGAGAAGAGGACATAATAGAATCGTTTACCTATATAAGGACCTTTCTCTGATTTAGTGGATATTCAGTGTTTCTTCACTCATTCCTACTAATGCTTCTCATTGTGATAATTATTCTCACTTTCTTTTCAAGTTGTCCTGGAAATAACTCAGATACTGGGTAAAATGTTCCTTATGTTTGCATTCCATGATGTATGACATCAATCATGTGGTCTTGGCACAAATACTCTTCAAGCCCAAGTTCACTCTGTGTCAAGTCAAGGATGAACTGCCCCAGTGTCTCCCTGAATTCATCTCAAATTAAATAGGGAAGCATGGCATTCTGTATTTGTTTGCAAACTGCATTCCAAGAAAAGCAAGTATGTGTTTGCACATATTTTCACGGGTGTAA